TTTCTGGTATTTCTGTATAACAGCACCAGATCTTGTAATAGTTCTGTGTTACTGTGACAAGTATTGAGGAAAGAGAAGGTCCTGATTCTTCTTTGTCCATTTTACTGTAATCTCCATCCTAAATCATTCCCTCCATCCAGAGTTGCTCTGATGATCCAAATGGCACCTGCTGGTTTGCTTTAAGCTCCTTACCCCTTCTTGTCCCCAGACAGAACATGAGATAATCTTCCTTTTACATCATACTTACCACACTTTTTTCTTTTTCAAAGACAAGTCTCCAAGAGTTCATAAATGCAGATGAATTACCTCTATAAGCACCTATAAGTAAGCATTCCATCTATATATGCTAACTTTCATCATCTTTTGCCCTATGCCCTGTGTATTCTTTTACACAAAAGCAATACCAAATGCAAAGAGGATGAAATATCATCAGAATGTATTTTGTTTGTTCTTTACGGAAGTGAAAAGGTAGCAAGTAAAATTAGATCACTGAAGTCATCAAAGTAGCCTTTTTACAATCTGGATTGTAAATAAATTATTAATCCTCGATTATTTCTTTTTCTAAATTTTATTTTTGAAATGTGTTATGTATTTATACAGTCATTGCTGAGATGAGAATAATTTCCCAAAGTTACAGATTAAAGGAGTTCACAGCAGATGAAAAGAAGACTCAATATGTTTAGCAAAGCAAGTGGTCTGTTTAGAAAGGCTCATCTCTGATACTGTTGAAAGTCTAGTAAGTCAGTCTTTTATGTTGTTCAGCACAATGGGGCCTTGCAGTGCTCTGTGTTTCTCATTTTAGCTGCGGAAGGTATTCAACTATTTAATACAATTCAAAAAAGATATTACCTTTTCTTAAAGTGCATTAAAATATTGGCTTAAGTAAATTAGTTTTGTCATCACATTAATTTCAGTGATTTAAAAGCACCAATATTAATATATGCAAGACTGAAACTCAGTATTAGCTTAGTATTAATAGTAATTTAATGTGGATAATATTATTACCAAGATTTCCTTTGTTTGGCAAGCCCTGTAGTGAGAAACTAGAAATTGGTAATCTGTAAATGCAGTTTCATCTTCACATTTAAATGATGTTCTTTATATGCTTTCATGTCTCTAACCCTGTTTTCAAATGGTATTTCATTTTCTGCCTTTTCTTTCTACTCTTCTATATATAAATATATTAATAGGTACTGAGAATTAACTGTCTCAGTACAATATTTTTATCTAGGGTGTAAGTATTGAAATTTTTTTAGTGCATATATAAGGGTGTGACTTTTGTCATTTATACGTATCTGCATCAGGCAATTCATGAAGTCATTGAAAGAGGGCTCACAGACCTTTTGCAACACTGTGCTGATGGAGTGTATGTATTCTATACTGCTGTGATACAGCTATATCTTCACTCTGTTACTCAAAAATATGAAGCATAGAAGTGTGATGCTTTGACCATCTTTCTGCACCCTTTAGTATGTTGTGCAGCCTGAGAGCACTTCTCTCACAGTATAATCAATTCTTGTGAGCAATACAAGGAAGAAGTATTTTCTTGGACTTTCAGAAAAAACTACAACTCAAATATGGCTCAAACAGAATTTTATTTCTAAAATTAAGCTTCTTTTTTATTACTTAAAATCTGTTTTCTCAAATATCTTCTAGAAACTTCACGTAAAAACAAACAACACTCTCTTTCCCGTAAATATAGTCTTCCATTCATTGTCTCATAAGTAATAAGAAAGGAAATAATATTTGAGAAAACAGAGAAGACCAATTTCACCATAGCTTGGACTATACTATTCAAGATATAGCTTAACCCCCCCCCCAAGTCTTAGAAGTGGTGTGTGGTAGAATTTCTGACTGGCTTTTTTCTATAACCTTGCCAGCAGTCAACCTGCAATTTCAGGAAAGCTTCAATTATAGTATGCATGTTTCATTGAAACTCTGTAATGTAAATTCATCTTATGATTTCTAATCACTTTATACATCTCATTCCCAGAAGCCTAATAACTACTGAATTCGAGTGCTTGCCTGATGCAAAACACTTGCCAAATTTAAAAAAAATAATTCTATGCTACGTAATGAATCAGAATTATTGAGCTCTGTCCAACTTTCTTTAAGAAGTAATTTTGCCTAAAAGTTCTTGCAAAGCAATTGAGAGTGTATCAATAAATTACTTATCAGCCAGTGGAAATTCAATACAAAATCCAAATGCCTGTGTTTCTTTTTTTTTATTTTTGAGAAATTACTTTGTGTTACTTTAATATTGAAGAAATAAATAGGTGTGTCTCCATAAATTAATGTTTCTCCAGAACTATACAGAGGCATAAAAAGGGATGAATTTTTACAAAATGCTGTCAGTTCTTTTTTATATATATATACTTTTTAATATATATATATAGATATATAAAAAAATAAAAGCAGTTATGTCAGTAAACAAAGTAAGAGAAATTAAGCCTCAAATACAAACAACCTGATATGCAAAACCACAAAACAAAAAACCTTGTTGCTATTTTCAGTATTTTCTCATTGGTATGTATATTGGGGAAAAAACATGTATGCTCGTACTTGATTCTTGTTCATTAATACATTTGTTTTGCTTTTAAATGTTTTTATCTTTTTTCCATTGTATTTTAAAAAAGCTTTTGCTGAAATGGAATAGTGAAATGCTTCTACTTAATAGATGTTATAGTTCAACAGTCACCTGAAATTAGTATCGTCACTCCTTTTTCATCGCAGCCATACATTTCTGTGCTTTAGGAAGACTGATATTAATTGAAAACTGAGATGCTTCCAGTTTCTTAAATTACTTGTGGTATCAGTGATTAGGTCCTTATTCAGTGTTGAAGTGTTCTACATATTTTCTTATAAATCCACCAGATAGATTTAGTAACACCTGTGAAGAATAAACTATTTTCCTTTTATTAATTAGTGTAGCATACCAAAACAATATACAAAACAGTATGCCCTGGTCAGCAGTGGTGTTGATCACACAAACTATCAGATGTCTGAAATATTTAGTCAAAATATATTTTCAGATTTTTGCTGGAGAATAGTAACTTTGTTTTTTATTTTTTTTAGTTCAGGATGAGAGTTTAATATATAGCTATAATAAAGAAGACCTATCAGGATAAGTTACAGTCCTCCATTCTGTTTGGTTGGGGCTTTTTTTGTTTTTTTTTTTCCCCGTTAGTTTAAGCTTAAATGATGAAAATCAGTTCATTGAATTTCAGACTTTGGTAAGAGAGGTACTGCATCATCCCACTAAAATCAGAAGTATAATTCTATAATTGAATAGGGTTGGCCCTGTACTATTGTGGAATCTAACATTTTTTTTCTAAGTAATTCTAGCCCCTCGCAAATGAACCCATGTTCTGTACAGAAAGACATGGGAGAATCCTTTATAATTGTCTTGATTTTCACAATGTATAGCGTCTGCTGACCAATGACATTTTGCCAAGCTATATATTTTTTATGATACCCTATACATGGTAGTATTTTTTACTTAAGCCTCTTGAAAGAGTCCCAGTTGATGCTTAAGCTGTATATGTTTTATTTTTGTTTTTATTGTTTTATAACATGAGTTACAAGTTGGAAACACAAAATAAGGATCTGTTTCTTAAGATTTTTTTTTTCCTGTTTTGGCTGCTTGTTTATGTACAAACTATGAAAAAATGGATCTTCATATTGCTTAACATATAGCTAAAATATTTGTGTGTGCATATGTACAAGCCCATATTTTGCTAATACACAACTTTATGCATTCACAGTGTCCCAGCTTTCTCATATGCATTAAGAATTTTAGTGCAAAAGTATGTATACCTATTTTATGAGGGACTGTCAATGATTGTAAGTAACAGAACTGCTGAAAGTGTGAAATTTTGCTTCATTTATTTCTAAATAGTTTTTGTTAGTAATTATATGACCATATGATAAATCACATTGTATAGCATTTTAACATCTTATTTCTTAAAGTAAAAGTAGTGTAATTTTGGATATTTTATAATATTTATATATTACAAAGATGTCAGAAAACATGCTTTGAATAAGTACTGTATGTTATGTTTTGAAAATTGGAATTTTACATTTTCGCTACATTTATAAAAAGAAAAGAAGAGTTATTCTGTCAGGATCTAATATTTTAAAAAGAGAAATGTGTATATAAAAATTCTAAACAGAGCAGTGCCTTTTTGATATGTTCAAGAATTAATGTTAAGCATATGTATATTATTTAGAAAACATGATCAATAAATATGAGTCTTAATTCTTTTTTGTGTTTATTTTGAACACAGGCCTGATGATAAGTTATTAACCTTTGCTCAACTAAATGAACATTTTTAATGCTAATCACAAATATATTGTAGTAATTTGTTGCGAAGGTATTAGTTGCATGTTCATCCATCATGAGATTGATGTTTACATTTTTTCACCTGCCTCTTGATTAAAAAAGATCAATAAATATTTTAGCAGTTAGTATATTGCTAAAAACTCAGTAGCTTCAGTGTAATTGTTGTAAGAAATGTAACACCGTTTGCTGGCTATAGTCCGTGCTATAGAATAGTGCATTATAAGGTGCCAAAGTAAATGTCTCTAACTTCTTTCAGACATTGGCCCTGTTTGTTTGTAGAGTGAGAACTGTTTCTAGTGTGCTCATTGAACTTGCTGGAATTTGTGTTTGCTATAGTCTTCATTTTCCCCAAGAGGAGGAGAGAGGAAAGAATATATTCCTCATGTGGTCAGCATATTTTTGAGTGAGTTCACCATCTTGATTTCAAGTCATGAATTTGTTTTTACATGCATAAGCATGCATATTTACATGCATTATTTATCCAATTGACTTTAAATTCCATTAAGTTCCAATGAGTAGGAGAAAGATTTTTGTCTTAGGCGTTTTTTATTTATTTTAATTTTCTAGTTATGTTACTTTTGTTGGTTTATTTATTTTTTTAACTGTTCAGTCTAAGGCTTGTAAAGGTTGATTTGCTCCTGAACTGCTTTGTTCCCAGACATTGCCATCTTCCCCAACTACCACCAAGTCCTCTCCATCTGATCCCATGACCACCTCCAGAGCCAATCAGGTACAGTATCATCCTACCATCTACACCATACTTTTCACGGGTGACAGCTTGCAAACTGGAGAAAAAGATATGGTGGGTTAAGGATTTATTCGTTCATTCACATATATACACCCATAACCATAGATATCTAACTCTTGTTAGAAATTGGTAAATTGAATGGAAAACATTTTTCTTCTTTTAATTTGTTTTGTTGTCTTTTTAAAATCTCTGATGAAAGCAAAATATCTTGTAAAATAGTCTTTTTTAATTTGATTTGATTAATAAATAGCAAGGATACATGCTGGTGTGTTTGTAGACAGAGTAACTCTTGGTATACGTATGTTTATGTATATATGCACACACGTATTTACTTCCTGGATCATTTATAAATTATAATAGAATTACCCCTAAAACCACGCTTAATTAGCTGGATGTCAACCTAGGAATGGCAAACAGACTTCTTTATTTATTTGTTTGTTTACTTTAAGAATTTTGAAATGTGTTTGTGGACAGTAATATAGGGGCATTATTTAAATCGTGTATGTAATAAAAAATATATTTGAAATGAAAATTTATTGATTAAGAACGAAGTAAAATTAAGTCTCTCTAAAAACACATCTAAGTAAGTTTAATTCATGTCATATTTTTAAATGCATAAACAGTGCTTTTAGCAGTGTTTTAATTACACTCATTTATTTCTCTTTTAACTGGAAAAAAAACATGTCCAGTTCATTATGTCCACAAATCATCATACTGTGTATCTTTTTGCCTTCCTTATGAAAATTGTTAAAGTTACTTCATACCATGCTTTTTAGAACTGATTCATGCTTAAGAAATACCTTATTCATTTTTAAATGTACTGTTAAACTTAATGTACTTGTGTTCAAATAATGTAAGTATTCAGTATGTGCTGACAGTTTTTAACACACAGTCTGTTTATTTAAGTTAGCTGAATGCTTCTATCAGATCTTGCACGAATTAGATCAAATACCAGAAGAGTTTTCTTCACAACAACCTAATTTCCCCTGGAAGTTAACATTGTTATTAAGTACTGATCCACTGATATTTTGTGAACTGCTTAGAACTTGCTGGCTCTATGAACAAACAATTTAACATACAACAGGACGCAGGCATATTAAAGCAATATATCACATTTTTGATCAACACATGACTATCTGTTGAAAGGGACATCTAATACAGAAAGTAATGAAATTTAGAGAGAAATTGTACAGATAGAAGAACTACTAAGAAAAATATAAATTGCAATATCCCTCACTTAAATTTGAAAGCCTTCTTCATCAGCCTGCTTCCATTCCAGCAACAGTTATTTGGCTTCATCATCATTAAATGACAAAGATAAAATCTTTGCCAGCAGCTAGGGGTATTTTATGAACACTCTGTTCAGCCTTTATTCTCTCTCTTAATTTTAGTATTTTGTGTATTTCCATTAGAAGGTCTTGAAAATGTTGAGTGCACGTATCTTTTTAAAAGTGTTCTTACTATTTTTCTTTTCTGTGTCTTCTTTCCCACTTTTTTTTTTAATTATGAGTATACCCTGATGATCATTATTTGGAGAAAAAGGAAGAGATGCTTTTTATTTACAGGAAATACTATTTGAGCATGCTATCTAATTAGCATCAGAGAAGTACCTACTTTGCATCTGTTCTATGAATTTTTAATTATCAAAATTGTAGTGTAGCGTATAAACTTTAAATGACTTTTTAATAGCTAAAAATACTTATTTTTATATAAAGTTGTTCTATCAGTATATTGTCAAGTGATATAGCTGAATATCCAAACTAAGGGAAATGTATACTTTGTGTCCTGCCTATATCCCATGTTACATCTTTTAATGCATTTTTTTCATAACCTGTGTTCAATTCAGTTGTCATACAAACAATTAAGATCTCTTTTGAATAGCATTAAAATTGTATAGATGAAGAAGAGTAATGAGTTCCTTAAATGACTTATGGAACCGCATTTATCATTAACCCTTGAAATTCCTACTGGTTTATAATTATTTTACTCCTTCTAGTATTTCCTAGTGGTTTCTAGCCATTCCAGCAGGAAGCACAAAGCACATGATAAGGCAATTAAGTCCTTTCTGTTCATTCTAGTGATAAGTGACGTAGCTGGCAATTGTTCCCAGACTGTAGTAGTGATTAGCATTCAGCACCAGTATATCGACAAGTATCTGCACTGCGGCTGTCACATGAAAATAGGTTCCAACACAGTAATCTCAAACCTGTCAGTAGTCATGTAAGTACCCAATAGGAGAGTATTAGTGAACAACAACAAATGCTTGTTTTGATATATGGCTGTGTAAGATGATTCTCAATAGAAAATAACCATTCAGGTATGGGTTTTCTCACAAGATGTTATATTAGAATAATAGGAAGGAGCTTATTTAACTGGATGGGATTCAGGAAATTTAGTGTTAAGGTGGAAGATAGATCCACAGCACACCCTGTTGTGTGGATATAGTAGCATATCAGGCTTAAGATCATTCAATTTTCTATAATATTTTAATCATGACAAGGCGATATTTTATGTTAAAGTTTAGTAAAGGGATTAAGCAACGTTTAAGCAACGCTTAATGCTGGGTTGCTGTTGGAGTGAGATTTTTAAACTGGGTTGGAGGACTCCCCATCAGTCATTGTGTTTAGAGAACTGTCGAGGATGTGTGTTGATGAGCATACCTGATGATGTGATCCTTCCCGCTGCACGAGCATGTCAGTTATATGCTCCTGACAGAGCTTGCATAGTGGGAAGAACAATTTCTAGGCACACTTCTTACCGCAAGAGGAAAATAGTGCTGCCAACAGAGGTCAGAGGAAGCTGGGCAGGAAATCTGGCTTGCATTATGTCTTCCTTTTAATGACTCACTTTGCCTGCATTCAGATGAGATCATAACTCCTTTGTATGGCAATTTTGGCTTTTGTTGAATTGTTACTTTTTGAAAAATCCAATGTTCATGAAACTACTTGTTTTATGATTCTCAAGAAGAGGATAGTCTCTAAAATGTCTTATATAGTGGAAGGAAACAGTTCCTTCAGAACTTTCATGTGTTGTGTTATACTGAATTGCCATGGACGCAACAGAAACCTCTGTGTTGGAAGTGTTTTTTTCTTTAGTTCTTTGTTCCAAGAAGATAGATCTGTCAATACTATTGTTGTAAATGTCTTGTTTATTTTTTCAGTAGAACTTCCTTGGGCCTTCGTTCAAATTAAAAATTCATACACTGCAAACTTCCCAAGGAAGAAAGAACCAAAGAGGCAATAGAACTAGGGACATTTCAAATAACTTTTTTTTTCCCCCTCCTGTCTGTCTATCACTGAAAAGAACTCAATCTTTCTGTACTTTTAGACTGAGAGCTTCTGTGTTACCCCCTCATGAACTTTGTCAGCTTTCTTTATAACAGAACACTGAGAGACATATAGCTACAGTGGTAAAACTGTTCTGCTAACGCCTCTGGAGCTGGCAGAATATAGCTTTACTTTTATTTACCAGAAGGAGGAAATCAATTTTACTTTTCCACAGTACACTTCAAGTGGGAGTTTCATCTCAAAAGTGATGAATAACACCATAAACATCATATAAAACATGCTTGCTTTTCCTCTATAGTACCTTGTAAAGGTACAAGTTTTAATACTTATTTTAACAGTTAATACTTAATTTAACAGTGACATTAGATAGACAAGTATTTCTATAATTAAACGATTTACATATTTTCTTTTGTTTACAAGATTCTTTTTTCTTCTTATCTGCCTGCTTTACTGATGTTACTATTATTTTAGAGGGAGAAACACGAGTGATAGAAACCTAAAGTTTGTATTTCTTCTTTGTCTATTCGATGTACACCTAAAAATGCAGTTGCAAACCCCTGCACGTTTCCTTCTCCAATCCTCCCTTTTTCCATGAGACTGATATCGCTGCTGACCTTTACTAATGGCTGTAGGAGAATAAAAGGCCAAAACACACATTCCCACTTACAAGTGAGTCAGAAGAGTGATGGGTAGGAGTCCTTTCCCCTTTCCTTATAATTTAGATAGGCTTAAGCTCAGTAATGTAATAGGATTTATCATCACAAACTTTGTGTCATTAACTATATAATCCTTCTTTTATTTTTACTTTTTTAAATGTACTATTTTTTCCCATGGCATTTGCATTTTTTACAATTATACCTTCTATTTGGCTGCTTTGTTGTTGAACATAAAACTCTTATTTTATCATTTAATATAGTGTAACATAAATTTTGTGGAGTGCAGATAGGTGTAGGATTTGTCCATTCAGTCCTCAAGGTTTATAGTTTTTTGGAGCATATCTACGTCCTCCGGTTTCTGCAATATCTGTAATAGTACTTTTCAACCTTTTTACATGATGGGACTGAGCCAGTTTTCTTGGTACTGCCTGTACCTAGTAGGTACAGCACAAGTGTGTGGCTGTTGCAGTCTTGGTATTAGGAATTTGTACTTTTGGCTCATATTATCTCTTTATTTTATGCAAAATCTATAGCTTGCAATGGGATATAATAGCACACACATAGCTAGGAATTGGGAGATTGATATCTCTAAATTGTAATGATTGATGTAGATGATCTCCTTCTTTCTGACTTTAAAGAACAGTCCTATCCCTGTCTGTAAAACGACTTGCAGAAGTATAATCTTTTCATTCTTGATGGAGAGGTAGAATTTGAAAATAGAGGCTGTCTGTAAAGCACACTGACAGCTTTTAAAGGGTTGATGAACTCATATCACTTATATTTACTATGTAATTTCTGTGGGAGGTGAAAGAAGAAATAGGAAAGAAAGCTTTGGTTTAGTCTTCTGTTATAATTAGGACATGGTAGTTTAAAATATGTATAATATCCAACTTCAAATGATAAAGTTTTTATCAGTACCTTAATCTTGAAGTACAAATAGTGAGTTTTAATGATGATCCCAGGATACTAGATAGCCATTGTAGGCCATCGAGATACTATCTCTATTTGCCTTTGACAATTTGACATGAGGGTTATTTAA